CTTCATTGAAGCAGAGTGCTGATTACTGTCTCTGAACAGAATTGAAGGCTGTGCAGTTGCAATTTGCCTGCAGAGTTATCAGATTTTGAAATGCCATTCCATTTTCCATATTTTGCAACTGTAGATAGCAGTTTTCACAGAGGTTGCTTTAATGCATTTGGTGCTTACTGTGCCACCAAAGTTGCTATGCTACACATGTACTGATAACTATTTCTAAGCACTATGTTTCACTGTTAGTAACAATCACCACACCTGTGGAACTCATCTTTCTTTACACCTTGTGAGGCTCATCGACTTACTTTCTTTACACCTTTTTTGAGCTTGCTATGCTACACCTTTGTGATCAATGATTATACATCAGTTCTGGTTAGGGAGGGTATTTAGGAAAGTTGTGGTCATCTAAACATCATGAATGTAATTATTTTGCCATTGTTGACTAAAATAATAAAATAAAATTTAATATTTGAGTTGGGAAATGGTGCATGAAAGAAATTGTCCATACCTTGGTCCTTAACGTAAGTATGGTCGGTTTATAGGTATGAATGAATCAAATTTGGCACTTAACATAGTGTGTGAGCCGTATTTATTTTGTGTGACTATGATACAGAATTACCACGGGAGGCACCTGTGAACCACGAGAGGCACCTGTGAGGAGAGTAGAATAGATGACTTTGAGCCATATCAAGTAGGGTAGAAAAAGGTTAAAGAGAACACTTTTGGAAGTTGTTGAGTAAGACTTTTTAGTTAACAATATTTCTAAAAGCTTAATAAATGATAGAGTATAATAGCGTCATATAATTCATGTAGCTGACCCCACCTAGTGGGATAAGGCTTGTTGTTGTTGTTAAGTGTGAGATAGAATTGCGATTCTGCATGAAAGAGAAAATAGAGAAGAAGAGGAGAGATTGGAGAGAAAAACAGAGAAGAGAGAAGAATAGAGAGATTGAGAGAAAGAGAAATAGAGTGACAAGACGATTCATTGAATAATATGCAAATTGTATTGATGACTTAGCATAGGATCTACAATGAGATCACAACTATTTATAGGCTTCTAATATGGCTCTCTCTCTCTCTCTCTTAACTAACCTAATGGCTAGTTCCTAACAACTAACCAAGTCTCAATTACAATTACATAACGGAGTGGGGAGTGAATTATTTTTTTGGTCATAATATAAGAGGGTTGGCCTTGGATTTTACTTTCAAGAAGTTAACCTACTTGATTAGGGTGATGACCTTTCATAGTCTTGTTAGAAGGCAGAAACTGAGGAATGATTTTATGGCATTTCTAACTGTCTATTGGACTTAGTCCTTATTTTGGTTTTATCTCACATGTCCATGTAACACCTTTCAGGCATGATATTCTTTCTTAAAATCATTGACAAAAGCTTGAACTGATGGTCAAAGTAATGTATATATTAGTCACGAATCTCTTAATTTGAATGCATGTATAGCATGGTTCTCACAGTCCTCTCATTGTCTTTTCCTAATGGTGTTTTCTATCCACGGGCTGGTTTGTTAGCTGCTTAGATGTATAGATAGCTTGCCTGCACTTAAAAATTGAGACATGTTCCCTTTACTGATGTGTTCCTTTATTTGTTTGTTTATTCATGTTAGTTGATATCTAGTTTGAAGTTTGTGAAATTACTCTCTAACATAACTTTTGACATGGTATTGGCAGACTTGGATTTTTTGTTTCATATGTTCTTTCTTGCTCGGTACTGCAAACTTCTAGAGGAGAATTCCTTCAGGGGGAGGACAGCTGATTTCTTTTACATGCTCTTATTTGGGGCTACTTTATTGACTGGGATTGTTTTTGTTGGAGGGATGATACCATACATCTCAGAGTCATTTGCAAAAATTATGTTCCTTAGCAATTCATTAACATTCATGATGGTCAGTTATGTTTCCATTGATGTTTTGTTGTTAAAACTTCATGTTTGAATTTAAATTGTCTCAGTGTTATAAAAAGACTTGACATTTTGTATTGTCCAGGTTTATGTATGGAGCAAACAAAATCCCTTCATCCACATGAGCTTTCTTGGCCTTTTTACATTCACAGCAGCTTACCTTCCTTGGGTGAGTAAGAGCTTGTGTTATACCTTAGGCTCTTCTCAATTTTGAGCAGGGAAATAACGGTCATTTTGGGCAAATTTAGACTGGTCAAGATGATATAGATGTTTAGATCTATTGAGAAATAACTCAGAAAAATCCCATGCAAGAATGCACAGGATTGAAGAGTATTTTAGAATTTGTATTTATACTGTGAATGAATTGTAGAATGGATTTGGTTTTTGTATATAACAAGACCCACTTGCGCAGTTTTATACTGCACAGTATGTAACCACTTAAAAAGAAATGCTCATGAATTGAGGCATATAGTTATTTTACAGTAGTTTTGATTGTAATATTATATATAAATGATGATTTTTAATCTGAATTTGAGGGGGAAAATTTAAACCTTTTAGATAAAATGGATGACTGAAATTCCCTTCAAATGATTTTCAAAAGACCATATATAGAGAGAATCCGGACTTCCAGATTATATGATTGAAAAGTAACCCTTAAACTGAGTTTATGCTTTGTACTTGGTATTGATTTTCTTCATTTCTTGTTTAATTTGATCTTTTTTATTGTATGAATGTAGGTTCTCTTGGGATTCTCTGTCCTTGTGGGTGCAAGTGCTTGGGTGGATCTTCTGGTATGTGTCTTTGCTCAAGTAACACATTATTTTGGTATTGCATCAATCATTTTTTTATGTGCTGGATGGCTTTTGTTAAAGTTGAAAACATGCTTCAGGGAATGATTGCTGGTCATGCATACTATTTTCTTGAAGATGTCTATCCTCGGATGACCGGCCGGCGGCCCCTAAAAACTCCGTCATTCATCAAAGCACTATTTGCAGATGAGCCTGTTGTCATGGCCCGGCCAGGAAATATTAGATTTGCTCCGCCACAAGCGGAAGCCCCTCACCGTGATTGATATGGATATTTGCAGATGAAGCCACACACTTGAGGGGTTTGAGAAACCCCATTTTCTGGGGATCTAACCTTCCTGTGCCTGTGCATTGTGTATAAAATATCACATAGATGTCTATTAGAACAGTTACTAGCCTAAATGTGATGAGTTTTCTTCTCCAACCTTTTTAGAATTTAGAAAGAAGTGGTACAAGTCTTGTGGTTTTTTGGGGTGTTCTTTTTACCAGGTTTATTTTCTAACTTTCTCTCCTATGCTTAAGGTTATAGTTGGGGCCAAACTTTTTTTAAAAAAAAAAAAAAGTTTGTCATGAAGTTTATTTATGAAATTACTTCACTGTTGTATTTGACTTGCTAAAAGTGTCACGGCATGATAATTTGAAAAACATTATGACTTGGTTTTGTTCTTATTTTTTGCTTTCAAAAACCTATTTTGTAAGCTAATTTTTAAAAATTGTTTTTCAAAATAAAATGAAATGAAAATTCTCTTGATTATGTTGATTTGAAAATAATTTTAAAGCTACAAAAAGTCAATAGTGGTAGTGGCCAGTGATTAACGATTATGGTATATGAGAATGGTTGATCATAACCTTTTTTTTTTTTTTTTTGCCAAATGATTGATCATAGCTGAAGATAATTAAAAGTCAAATGTAGCGTGTTTCCAAAATAAAAAACAAAAAACAACTACAAGTCATTTTCCTTTTTTGTTCTTAAAAAATAAAAACAGTTTGGAAAACATTTAAAGTCAAAACACTTATCTAAATGATTTTTCTTTTGTTTTTAAAAACAGAAAATAGTTTTTTAAAACAGAAAACAAATCCTAATATCTTAGTCCATTGCAGTGTTAGGAAATTGTTGATATGGCAAACAAAATGTCAACATGGAAGGCACATAGGCCTTGACATGTTGAGATTGAGACATACTTATGAACCTCCTAATATATATATATACACACATATATAAATATTTACCAAGTGTATGTTTGGTTTTTAATTTATTAAAAAATTAATTGATAATTATTGTTTATTATAATGAAATTTATGTTTAATTATATTTTTAAAAAAATCATTTTAGAAAGTTATTTTAAAATTCTCGTGATGAACTTTACTATTAAAAATAATTGAAAGCTGTTTAAAAGCTAAGGGTAATTATAATTACAACAAATTTCAAGAGAACACAACAAAATTGCAGACAAGCTGGCAAAGGAAGGTCTGAATACCTCTTCTATGACACGGCTCGACCCTCCTTGAATCCAGCCGTCCATTATTCAACTTTCTCCTGGCCTTAGCCCATCTCTTGTATAATTTTTTTTTTAAATACTCAGATTAATTTTTTTTTGGCATAATAACTCGAATCAATTTTTGGCGAATTGACTTTTAGAAACATTTCAAATCGACTTGTAGAAAGTAACCCAAATCGACTCGTAGAAAGTAACCCAAATCGACTCCCAAGAGGCTTGGTCAAAGCATAATTGGCAACGGCGTAGCATTCACACATCGATTAGTCTCATTGTAGTTATGGCCAATTTGCAGGGGGCATGAGAGCTATTGGCAGTCAGGATTCTGTTTAGACGACCGTTACCTGATCTTTTTTTTTTTATAAGGGAAAATTTCAGTCTAAACCCCTTACCAAACATGATAAAAATACGATAATATTATTCAAGTAACTCAACTTTTGATCTATATACTTTTTGGAGTCATCGTTCCAAAAAATGTTTAGTAGGTACAAGCCACCAAACATCAAAATAAGTATACATTATTACAGCATATAAATTAGGGCTACAATTCAACTATAAAAGGGTTGAGATTGAAAAGTAAGCAAAGTAAAAAGTATACACAAATTTTGAGCGACCATAAATGTAGAACACCTACAAAGATAAAATTGAAAATTTGAGGGGTTATAGTACCCCCCCCTTCCTCTACCTATGATCTAAAACTGCATGAAATTTGTTTCCTATTTCCTACCCTCAACAACAACCCCTCTTTCCTCAAATTTAAAAAGGGGAAAAAAACGATTAATATAACTGCTCGCGCCTAGAAAAATAAATCCAAATTATCAGTCTCAAGAAGTAGCTTCTGTGTTTCCCAGGGGTTGACATATCTGGTGGACTATTGCTTCTCTGAATCTGCCGAACTTCAATAGCATCCAACTAGAGAACCAGCACAATCATGGCCAATGGCAAAGACTAAACAAAAATCCCAAAAGCACTGTTGTTACTGGACAAGATGATACCGAACTGATATCCTCTTTGGGGGTAATGTGCGCAGGATGAAAAGGACTAAAGCTGAAGGCATGATCTCAACTAGCTGTTTGAGAAGAAATATTCCCAGATGTCAATATAATTAAACCAAGATATAGAGGCAATTGACAGAGCAAAATTCTGCCGGTTACCATGTAGTAAATCAAGTTCAAAATTGGGTGATTCGGAACATCAAGTGATGCTTTTGAATCAAATGTACCAAGAAATATCTGCAAGAGTATTAAAGAAAAATTGATTAAGAAATATACTATAGGTCTATAATGCATGAAGTACATAGCATACTTATTGATACTGTCAATTAACTTTAATCCTGCAGCTCTAGTTTCCATGACAGAGACTTCAAGCCTTAACCCTCCTTTTTCCCTATATTCCGTCTCCATCTAGCACTCTTTGCATTTGATCCCACCAATCTTGCCGATCAACAACGGTTCTGTTGGGTTCTTCCCCTTTTCAATAAACTCTAAACCCCTACCAAGATTTATTACCAGTGACTAGCAGTCATGATAAAAACTAAGTGAAACAATATGAGGCAGGATTTTCCCATTAATGCAGCGCCACAATGGCTTCTTATGAAACAAAATCCATTACATTCTTATTTTCAACATTAACTGCTAGACATCATATAATCCATTCGGTTTCTATTATAAGGCATATCTAATCACCTCACCAGAATTAATGAAAGGTGGTTAAGTCATTAATCTTGTCTGAAAAAAAAATAAGCTTTTAATTTTACTCATATTTAAATGAAAATATTCAAATTTGCATTACATTCTCTCTTATAATTAATAAGTTTAGATAGAGATAATATTGGAAAAAAACATAATTAATAACCCCCACAGAGTGCCTCATATTAAAGACCAAATAATCTTTCTAAAAAGCGTCTTATAATAGGACTAAAGAGCAAGATTTTAAAAATCGGACTAACCACTAGTTCACGATTCATTTGTTGAACCGTAGTTGAACTGGGTTGACATTAAATACTATAATTTTAATTTATATATCACAATTAAATAAGAAATATGTGCAAATATTTATATTTTCAAAAAAATATTAATTAATGTTTTGGTAAAATGATATATTGTTGATGAATACATGATTAAATATTAATTATTCTTTCCTGTTCTTTGTTTTAATTAATTTTTTTTCAAAATTTTAATTCATTCATATCATTTTTAAGGAAACCGGTCCGGTTTTTTCCGTTTTTGACCTATTTTTTCCAGTCATTGACTAGTTTCCTTGTGGCCGGTTTTGAAAGGTTAACCGAATCGGATCAATAGCCGGTCTCTTGGTTCAACCAGTTGAACCAGCCAGTTCGGTCCAGTTTTTAAAACACTAAGAGAGAGTATACTTTTCAATTTCACTTGTTCTTGTGCATAAATTATGAGGGACACACAATATGCTCATACATAGAACACAAAAAAACAGTCATGGTTTAAATTAAATAAACTTTCATTTAGAATTATTAAATATTCACTATGCATACAAGCTATCATGCTAAATGTTGGTAGAAATGTTCGTGTTTCTAGCTTTGCTTTATTTGAGCATCCCAACTACTTGTAGCAAGAATAAGGGAGAAGATTACCAAAGCACAGATGGTGTAGTTCAAGAAGAAAACAATAAGAAATCTACACACGACGAATTAACATCTAAATGCTTAAGAAAAATTTCCATTAACATGATAATGATAATAACAATAATAAATAGTCAGTGGTTACCAAAAAAGCATCGGATCAGAAAGCAGGTGAAACATATGGCTGTGACAGATCCAACCTGTAATACACAGCTTATGTTCTGTCAATACAACTAATAAATGATGAGACTGAATAAATGGGAAGCTTTTAACAGGTTCTTCTTAGTTCACAACTTCTTATTAATTTTTTTTCTAAAGTAAATCTTCGTTCATAACTTCATGGTGCAATCCAAGATCCGTGAAGTTTTAACTTACTTTGTTGAACGTAATGTAGCACAAATGATGCATGACAATGCTAACATAAAATCCATTCATTTTCATATCTTACTCCAATGTTCTGACAAAGAATAAATATGAATTTTTAAGGAAAAGCTAGAGCTATTCTAATCTAGTTGATGGTTGAAGAGGTAATATGATGACAAATATGATTTTGTACTTTGCACATTTTGAAGCCAGCAAAAATTTCTGGCCCAAAAGAAAAAAGGAAAAAAAAAACGCCAGCAAAGAAATTTATCATGATCTCGACAAATTTCAGTTGTCAAACCTTTAACCTTGTACTTCCAAGTACTTGTACAACAATAAAAGATTTCTATTCTTTCCATTAATGGTAGAGATCAATAAAGAAGAATACTGGCAAAACTTAACATTGTATATTTTGACATGCACATAACACCGTGCTGCGAAGAAACTATGCCACATACAATGACCTTTAGCACACAACGAAATTCACAAGAAAAAGATTACATGAAAAATCATTTTTGCAGAGCAATTTCTATCAAATAGACCAACTGAGATGTAAATGCACATACCTCATGAAGCTTCCTCCTTCTCCCTCTAGATTCAATGGGGAAGTGCCTCAGCATGAGAAACAATCTATATATGTTCGATGCATATCAGACAAAAATTGAAAAGCTGACCACAATAAGCATAATAACTAGCAAAGAAACTGTTACCAAGCTAATAAATCATAGCAATTCAAATAAAATGCATAAGCCTCACCTTCCTCCACAAAGCAAGAAGCCCAATGCAGCCATTAATGACACAACTGAATAAGAGAACGAATTTTCTTAAGAGATGTCTTTACGTAAGGCAACGCTTCATTTTAAAGTAGCAAAACTCAATCTCAAGCGTACAAAATACAAATAGGTGTAAAACATAAAGCACCTTATAACTGCTATTGAAAGAAGAAAAACTAACCAGCAAAAAATATATTTCGACGATGTACTGCACAGCACTAATGTAATCTATCCAAAGATAAATCCAAATGCAAATCTGAAACCAAAGCGACACTTTAGTAAAATGGTTATATATGGACAGCATGATAAACAGCAGGCAAGCTCTTGTCATCTCTAGAAGCCATTGAGATTTATGCTGAATTTGACATCATCTTGCAGAAATGAAAAATGATAAACCATAAATACCACTCAAAATAAAACTAAATTGCATATCTTGTATGTCACTGAAAGCCAACAAGCGATGGTTGAGCTTCACAGTCAAGAAGCACAAATTTCCTAGGAATTCATTGGTAAAGAAATTTTCAGATGCCAGAAAAACATCTTAAGACTGAATTTTCCCCTTAATATTATCTGCAACTTATTCACTCAAGCAAAGGTGATTGGAGAGTTGGAGGCAAGATCTGCTGTCAATAGTATTATAGCTTATAGGATAAGGTGGTTCTACACAGTGATGCTGTCCAACACCACATTAAAAAAATTTGATAATAAAGAGCATTTTTCCTTGAATAATAGAATATTCAGAAATGCAACATTTTAAGAATCCCTCAGAGTGCAAACCCAGAATATGATATGAACAAAAAGGAATAAGATGGAAACCAATTGAAAAGTGGATTAAGATGATTGTAAGAGAATTAAACAACTGGATACAGTTCTAATCAGCAAACAGAAAATGCTCTTACAGCATGATACAGGATAGATACCTCTCAATAAAATACACTGCACTGTTGATAGAAGCATAAAACTATCCTGAGTTTATCAATTGGTAAATTCCTTGCCTGCTCAGTTTTGGAAAAAGTTAGAAATACTAAGACTAAACAAATGAAAAAAGACAAGGAATTTCCTTCCTCATATGGATAATTGCTTTTGAGAGTTGATTTTATTTAATTCGCTAAAGTAAGATCCTTGGTTGTCACAATTAAAATCAACAATTTTAAAGATGATAAGAAAGAACAAACACTTGCCTGACGATAAATTTCTGCCCAGAAAAGAACTAGAAGTGTATATGCTGAGAAAAAGAGTAGTCCTGGAAGATCCAATAGAACCAAAACTAGTACCTAAGCCAATATACACTCTGTATCAATAAAAAAAACTAAAAAACCTGTTGATCTTAGTAAAAAAAAAAATTCCCTCTTCAACTTTGCAATTATAAAGAGCATAGGTGCAGTACTAACCTTTGGGTGTAAGATAAAAACTTGGTGGTGAAATCCAAATATCACTGCACGCACTGCAAAATGGAAATGCAAAAAGAGTAAGACGCCCAAAATTGCACACAACAATGAAAATATAGAAAGCATCAAGCCTCTCAACGTCACCTCCATTGACAATGAAGTTCATCAAATGAAAAAACTTTTTGTGTTGTCCAACCATATTCAGGAACTCTTAATTCAATTCTTATCAATTGAATCTGCAGTATTTTGGAACCAGGAAGACAACATCAGGACGAGGATTCTTTTGGGACATAAAACACAATAGGAACAAAAAAATAGTGGGAAATAAACAACCGCTTGAAGTCCAGCACAGGGCGTTTGGCGCGATCAATGGGACAACATTTCCTTTGCATTGCCAAACAAAAAAAGAATATAATATCTTTTAGATATACACAATATCGTTACTTTACAGTAATTATCCTTGCATCGTCATCATTATTTTCTTTAATTGTACAAAAGACATTTCCCAAGAACGAAATCACTTTCAGTCAATTCCACTTTACTATCAAACCCTCCAAACGCACAAATTAAAAATAATTATTTAAAATTAGAAATTGTCGCGCTAAAGAAGTACTAGACAAGGCATCAAAAAAGAAATTTTGGACAAGGAAAAAAAAATTATCATCACCCATGAATTTCGTTTCGTAAATTAACCAAGAGATGAGCGCACCGAATAGCCACAAAGCTTTAATAATTAATTAAAATATAGCTCGCTTTTTATGGCAAAAACAGTATTTTTCGGCCAATGTCAAAAACAGAGGTATGCTTACGAAGGTTGAACAGAATGTATAATGCTATATTTGTTAAAGGGCAATCACTCACGAAAAAGGTTTCCCAGCTTGAATTTGCTGGGAAAAAGAATCGAAACTCCAAGCTATAAAATAAATTGATTCAGAAAGCGCAATCGAAAATCAGAATGTGGACACAAAATCATTTTTCTGAAAGAGCTTAAGCAATTAATCACATAAGAATCACACGAGAAAGAAGATAAGCGGAAACTGCAGTGACAGTAGATCAGCAGTATAGGAAAGGAGCGGGGGGGTGACCAGAGCAGCGGTGGAGACGAGTGCATAGCAACCGCAGAGAGAGAAGTAGACGGCGTTCTGCCAAACAGTGTTGTTGTTGATATCGTCCCACCAATTGGAGACGAGAAGAGGAGGAATCTGCTCGACGAACGTCGAGCTCAGAGGCAAATTCCTCAGGCGAAGAAGCCAATTCGATCAGGAACACGAGCAAGCAAGTAGTAATCACTCACACAGTCCCACTCTCAGTCCCTGAAGAATCACTAGGGATAGTGATCCTCAACAAACTTTTTGACCTGATTCTCCCACGGCTCTAACACAAGGTTAGATCACATTCATTTCTTTCTTTTATCTTTCAGAAAGTTTGCAGACAGCTTCTAATCAGTCTTAAATACAACACACACACTTGTATTTTTTTTTTTTTTTTTCATATTTTCAAAATTATTCTTTTTTTTTTTTAATGAGCAAAATTTAGGGGCATGGTTTTGAGTCACCTCAGCAGGCAATATATTCGGTTTAATTAACCTTGTTTAACTTAGACCGGTTTTCTCGTAATTTTTTTATATTAATATATCAATAATCAATAATTAATCAATAATAGATAGATAATATAATATCCATATGATGGACCGTCCTATCGGAACAGTCATGAATATTTCTATTTTATCAAATTTAAGTGGAGAGATGGTTACGTGTGTAGGATATTT